TCTCTCCAGAGGGATCCCAGGAAGGAGGGATCCTGGTTTTTAGGATTCACAGACAGTCTCTGGACAGAAATCCCGAATTTCCAGGGTTCCTCTCTCCAGAGGGATCCCAGGAAGGAGCTGGAGGCCCAGGCAGCTCTGCTGGCTCAGGGCTGAGCTCAGGCCAGGACTCATCCAAGGCAAAGTTCCTTTATCCAGATCTCTGATCACTGCCCTGCCCTGCCTGGATGGGGAAAAAAAAAAAAAAAATCCCAGCAGAAAGCCAGCAGTGGGAAACAAACCCCGATTTCAACAGGTGGATTTTGCTTTCAGCTTTTTCCAGAGCTGCTCCCAGCACTCCAGGGGTACCCACACCCCTCAAATCCCCCGAGGGGGAATTCTGTGCATCCCATAAAACCTGAAAAAGAGCTGGACAGAAAAAAAAAAAAAATTCCCGAGCTCAGCCAGCTCCCAGCCCAGGTATCAGCAGAGAAATGACGAGGAAATTAAAAATAGCAGCTCTGTCAGCAGGGAGGGCTCGGGCTGTGCTCACTGCCTGGATTTTTATCCGAGCTGGGACCAACCCAAATTTGAGCAAACGGCAGCCACGGGTCAGGACACGCCTGGGAACGGGGCTGGGAACCCAAAATTCGGGTCCAGGCTGGAGGTGGGAGGGCAGAGGGAGGAAAAGCTGCAGCTCCTGCCTGGCTCAGCCTTTGAAGCCCAGGTGAGTCCTGGGGTGACTCTGCAGGTGAGCAGTGCCCGGACCTGCCCATGGATGTTGCACAAGAGAATTTGGGTGTGTTCCTGGAAATTAAGGAAGGGCTGAGGTCAGGGAATAAAAAATTAAAATAAAAAAAAAGAGAGAGGCTCTGAGCCAACACACAAATCCAGCCATGAGGGGTTTGGTGACCTCCAGGGTGTGTCCCCACCTTGGGTATCCCCACTCAGGGAGCCTGGCAGGTGAATGAAACCATCCCAAATTCCAAATTCCAAAAAAAAAATGGAGTTTTGGGTTAAAATATACAAAGCTGAGGTGCTTAAAGGAAGGTTGGTGGGAAAAGGAATGGTCACAGGTGAATTAAACCCTCCTGAATTCCATAAAAAACGGAATTTTGGCTCAAAATAAGCCCCACCTGAGTGAGCCAAGGTCCTTAAAAGAGGACTGGTGGTCAAGGGAATGGTCACAGGTGAATCAAACCCTCCTGAATTCCATAAAAATGGAATTTTGAGTTAAAATAACACAAGGTCAAGGTCCTTAAAGGAAGTTTGGTGGGAAAAGGAAGGGTCACAGGTGAATTAAACCCTCCTGAATTCAATAAAAAGGGAGTTTGGGCTCAAAATAATACAAGGCCAAGGTGCTTAAAAGAAGTTTGGTGGTAGAGGGAATCATCACAGGCAGCCTGGCAGGTGAATTAAATCCTCCCAAATTCCAAAAAAAAATGGAGTTTTGGGTTAAAATAATCAGAGGCTGATTGAGCCAAGGTCCTTAAAAGAGGTCTGGTGGTCAAGGGATTGGTCACAGGTGAATCAAACCCTCCTGAATTCCATAAAAACGGAATTTTGTGTTAAAATAACACAAGGCCAAGGTCCTTAAAGGAAGGTTGGTGGGAAAAGGAATGGTCACAGGTGAATTAAACCTTCCTGAATTCCATAAAAAACGGAATTTTGGCTCAAAATAAGCCCCAGCTGAGTGAGCCAAGGTCCTTAAAAGAGGACTGGTGATCAAGGGAATGGTCACAGGTGAATTAAACCCTCCTGAATTCCATAAAAACCAGAATTTGGGGTGAAAATGAGCCCCAGCTGAGTGAGCCAAGCCCTCAGAGCTCTGGGGGCAGGGGTTGGGGCCACAGCCCCGAGTTTTCCCCATAGCCCGAAGAGGAGCTGCAGTGACTCAGCCCGTGCTGACAAAGCCTCACATCCTCCCCACAGCTCCACCCAGGCAATTCCTCCTCTTCCTCAGCGCTGCCAGCACGGGCAGGAACAGGGAAAATTCACCAGGAGCTGCCTTGAATCCCTCACCTCCCCAAAATTCCCATCAGGTGCGGCCAGGATTGGGGAGGGCACACCTGGCACACGAAATTTCCACTCTGAACTCACTCAAAAAAAAAAAAAAAAAAGGAGAAGGGCAGGAGAGCCACGTGGGAGTCATTCCCAGCTGGAATTCCTGGAGTTTGGAGGGTCAGGATTGCAGTCAGCACCTTTTATTTTAATTTTTTTTTTTAATTTTTTTGTTGGGTGACTCAGCTGGAAATTTGCTGTCGCCCCCCCCCGCCTTCCACAACGTTCCCAGAGTGGAGTTTTGAGGATCCCACAAATCCGAAATTTTCTCCCTGAGCTCCCAGGAATGAGGCAGGCTGGGTTATAATGCTACATTTTTATTAAAGTAACAAAAAAAAAAAAAAAAAAAAAAAAAAAAGGATTTGAGAATCCAGGCTGATTTTCCAGTTCTGATGGTTTGCAGCTTGAAAATAAAATTTTTTTTAAAAAATCAGAATTTTACAAGTCAGGGCTGAGTTGCTGGGCTGGATAATTAAATGTATTAAAGAACCAGATGGGAACTTCCTTCCTGTCCCAGAGCACCCAGGAGCTGGAAATATATTGAAATATATTGCACAAATGTCTGAGAACTTGGAATCATCACTGGCTGGGTGAGAACAGCTCTGGTTTTGCCAGGTCAGGAAAAGGGGAAGGTTCAGCTGAGAGGAAAATCCGGGAAGTTTTGCTACAATCCAAGCACATCCATGGCTCAGTGTTGTCCCAGGAAAAAGGCAGAGGATGTGGGATAATATCCCAGGAAAAGGCTCCTTCCCAGCAGGTAGGTGAAGTTTAGGGCCTTTAACCACCATTAAATTTGGGATTTAAAGGCCAAATTTAAAAAAAAAAAAGAAAGAAATAAAATTCAGAGTCTCCCCGAATGCTGGGAGTGCAAAAGGAAAGATGCAGAGGAGCAGGAATTTAAAATTGTGCAAAAAAAAAACCAGTTTTGTTACCGAAGAGATGGGACCCCAAATCCCCTTTCCCAAGGTGGGGAAGTGCTGAGGCTTTAAAAAAAAAAAAAAAAATCAGGATCCCAAAACAGCCTGAACAACCCACACAGAGCTCCCCCTCAAAAAAAAAAAAAAAACCAAAAAAACTCCAGATTTGAGGAGAAAAGGCAGCAAAAAGGGAGTGTCACACACCAGGCTCTGCAGGACAAGGGACACAGGGAGGAGGTGACACCTCTGGGGACACCGAGAGGCCACCGGGGCAGGGCTGAGCCCCTGGAACAGGAAAAACTTTGGAATTCCCGGCTGGAGCAGCCCGTGGTGTCCCCTCAGTGTCACCACCAGTCACCCTGGGGACACTGCCAGGGCCACCCACGTGCCAGGTGAGCCCTCCCAGGTGAGGTGGGACACGGGGACAAACCCCGTGCTGGCAGAGCACATCCAGGACAGGGAATTCTCAGTGTCCCCAAGGGTCACCCAGCCCCGAGGTGACACCAAATCCGGGCCCCCAGGGAGGGCAGAGCAGCAGGAGCAGAGCAGGGTGGTGACAAGGTGACAATCCCAGCCTGGCTTCGATCCCTCACGACCCCCCCCCCTCCCGTTTCCAAGACGTTCCAAGGTGAGAAAAATCGCCATCCAACACTAAATTGGGTAGATCTCAGCTTCACAATAAGAACATTTATAAAAAAGAAATAAAAATAAAATAATAATAATAATAATAATAATAATAATAAACTCACGAGCTTGCAACAGCTTTAGAAAAGGCACCTGGGGCACCGCCTCGGCTCAGGGCGGCGCCCGAAATTTTAATTTTGGATTTTCTGGAGGTTTTGTTATGGTTTTGTTTTTGTTTTTTTTTTTTTTAAAAATATAAATAGCTCTTCATCTTAAAAATAGATCCTCGGCTTGAGGTATTACAGTAGCCTGTGTCTTGGCAGTGTAAGGACAAGGAGGAGAAATTTTTTTTTTTGTTTTTTTTGTTTGTTTCGTCGTGTTTTTTTGGCGGCGGGGGGAGGGACGGATTCTTTTTTTTTTTGTCGTTTTGTTCGGTTTTGGGGTCTTTTTTTTTTCCTTTTAGCTGGAGACAGTCATGATGTAATTTTTGGAAGGGCTGCTACGACCCAACATCATCTGGTTCTTGCAGGTGAGCATCCCTCCACCGTAGGAGCCGCTGGGCGCGGGTCTGGTGGCCGTGGTGGCCTCGTACAGGACGCAGATGGAGCCGTCGTCACCGATGCGATAGGACACCTCGTAGGGATCCACCCACAGCGTCAGCTCGCGGGGCAACAGCTGGAACAGCTGGGGCAGGCTCAGCCCCACCTGCCCCGCTGCCTTGCTGATGATGGGGTCCATGCGGTGGTTGATGCGGAGGCAGCGGTAACCCGAGCCTTTGAAGGGTTTCTCGGGGAACCAGTGGTGTCTGTAGTGCTCTGGGAAAGGAAAAGGGGAAGAGCAGTGAGCAGGGGAAAACAGGCAGGTGGGGTTTAAAGCTTTTAGTCCCTGTTAAACTTGGGGTTTGAAGGCCAAATCCTAAAGAACACCCATGGAAAGATTTCTCGGGGAGCCAGAGGTGGCTGTAGTGCTCTGGGAAAGGAAAAGGGAAGAGCAGTGAGCAGGGGATATCATGTGGGTTGAGTTTAGGACTTTTAGTCCCTGTTAAATTTGGGGTTTAAAGGCCAAATCCC